AGGGGATGCCAAATTCCTGCGCGTCCTGCAAGTCAGGGTGTTTACCCCAAAATAGCTTGTATGGTGTCACACCACGGAGTGCTCGGGTAGACGACCAGTTCTTGAGAAAACAGGTGTAGGCAAAAGCTTCCTGCCACAGGAACTTTGGAGAGTTGTGTGCGAGCAGCATCATGCGTGTGTGCTTGGCTAGGGTGCAATTAAGACATTCCACGACTCCATTCTGAGGCAGAGAATAGGGTGCCATAGTGCATAAGATGATGCCGCGCAAGTCCAGGTAAGCCTTATACTGACCTTCCGCGAACTCCTTCGCATTGTCCACATGGACAACCTTGATGCGCCGCCCGAGTTGTGTCTTTAAAAGGCGTTCAAAATGCTTAAAGTGGTCGAGGGCGGTGTCTGGTGTTCTTATGAAGAATATCATCACATAATGAGCTCCAGCATCAGTGAAACTGATGATGTAGAGATTTCCTTGGAGGGAAGCAACCTGGGCTGGCCCTCAGATGTCTGAGAAGATCAGGTCTCCAATCTGATAAATGCAGGTGGTAGCGATCTCAGAAAACAGAGCATGTGAGTGCTTCACCTGGATGCATGTTTCACATTCAAAATTGGGGTCTAATGCAGCATCAACTGTTATTCCATCAACCAGACCCAGTCTCTGCATCTCCTGCAGCTAGCCTCAATTGATGTAACCCAGTGCGCAGTGCCACTCGTATCATGTACGAGTAGTGCGTACTGCAAGCGCAAGTGACTCGGAGGACAGTTTTGGAGGGTGGGTCTGAATATTCATGTGATAGAGTTGATCACCTGCCTTGCACCCGAAACCGATTGCGCGTGCACCATCTTTCAGGTGCAGCTCATCCCCCTCACCAATAAATGTAATGCCTCCGCTAGACAAACGACCAAGTGACAATTGATTATATTGCATGGTCGGCGTGTGCAGAACGCCCTTCAAAGTGACAGGGACCGTCCTGGCCTTGGTGATGAATGTGACACAAACATCACCACAGCCCAGTGCAGCACAAGCGCTGCCAACATCCGAGATGGTACTTCCCGGTGTCTCAGTGTAAGTCGTGAAAGCAGAGCAGTCACGCACGATGTGGTTCTGTGCTGCAGTATCCCCCGGCCAGATCTCCCCCTGAACTACAGGAGTGGAACTTCTCCCACTCAAGGTGAAGGCGTAGGAGTCAGTCTTGCTATCTAGCTCGACCATGTGTGCGTTGAATGATAATCCGGAGGTCTGGGCCTTGGCTGATCGGCACTCAGCCTTGATGTGACCTTCTTTGTTGCAATTGTGACAGAAGACACCTTTGCAGAACTTTGATTTCTGCTTGGGCTTAGTGCTCGAGGTGCCTTTTGCAATGAGGGCTGTGGACATCACAGCCGATGCCGCGCACTCAGCGCGGCGTGCCTCCTCCAATAGGATGCGTCCTGTGACCTCAGTGGATAATGCAGTGAGTGGAATAGAATTAACGAGCAAGTCCCAAGACGAACAGAAAGTCGTTGTTTTTGGCGTGCTGAACTTTCCAGATTCCAAGTTCCAGATTTTGCCCATCAAACGGAACATTCTGTACCGCCCAGACCAATTTATCTCATAGAGTGCCTGTAGATAAGATACTGTAAAGCGCTTATTGCAAACTTCACGTGTTTTCCTTCCCAATATAGTGATTTACGTACCAGATAAGGAATCTTTCGTAAGACTTTGAGACAAGGCTTTGAGACAAGGCTTCGAATGTCGCTTGTGCTTCGCGTCTCCCATCCATTCCTCTGGATTTATTCATCCCAATATAGTGATTCATGTACCAACTACGAAATGTTTTGCAAGATTTCCAGATGCAGCTTCGAATACCGCTGTGTTCTTCGACACTGATGAACAACAGGCGGTACATGCCAAGGATATATTGCAACATTTCGAAGCCGTTATTTGACAGCAGTGAAAGGTACTCTCAATTTATCGCCTTTCAGAACATTCAGCGGTGATGTGCGCCGCTGAGAATATATATATGTGCAAGGACTCGCTCTCTCAACTCTTCGTCACCCCATTTTCCCTCATTCTCTCTTCCCTCGCCTATCAAGGCGCCGTGCTTGTGCGTAACCCATTAGTATTCAAGATTCCCTTGCTAATGCACTGTGCAATGGATGGCTCTCCATTGATGGCAGAGAGATCTCTCCACGACCCTCGTCTTTGTAGAACCTGCCTCGAACAGCTTCGAAAACTGATATACTGCCGGAGAAAGAGCAACCTAGATAACAGGGGTCGGTAGTTTCTCGAGGTGCGTTTGTGCACTCCTGCGCACTGTTCAGCCATTTATATGCAATGACGCAGTGTGAGGCTCATCCCGGACCGTCGTCGTTCACCTGGCTCCCGCGCTTGTACAATCCATGCCTCAATCCCGGACCGTTCCTTCCACCCATATACTCTCACCCACAGCATCGCCGCACCATGCCGACTTGCTCCCAAGCCAACTCGTCTCTCTCCAATGTGCAGAACGCCGCTGCACCACCCCATCCGACAGCTCCTTCATCTTTCCAGCTGTTGAACGTCACCCCGCCTGTTTCGAACCCGCCACAGCCAAGCACAGCCGATGCTACCACCAGAAGAAAGCACAAGAGGTGCGGCAAGGTCACAGCAACCTGCAAGAGGCAGCTGCCTAAGTTCCAGTGCGAGCAACAAGGCGAATGCGCAATTCACAAGTTACCGAGAATGAACAACACATCTTCTAACAGTCGCCCGAAGAAGGAGAAGAAGAAGAACAGCCCACGTTCAAGGGGTAATACAAACTAACACCCGTCCAACCCGTCAACCAGCCCCTCGGCCATCACCCTGGCTGTTCCACCCCCACAGCCCGGACCTGTCATGGCCAAGACAGTTCCCTGCGCGAGCCAGCCCACCTCTACAATATTCGTTGGTAAGTCTCTGTTTGCCTTTTCGCATTTCGTCCTCTCAACGTCTGCATGCGATCTCTCGGTTTCAGACGCGAGTGCTCAAACTCAAAGCACCCCAGTCGAGTCCATGCCGTCTCTCGCACGCTCTCAGCCCAAATCAACGGCTACTGCAGTACCTGCCGCAGCTGCTAGTATGTCTTGACACTTCTCTCCATCCCAATCAATGTGATAAATCAGCCTTTATAGCACTAGGGCCGCAGAAGACCGACCGTGTCTACAAGATGCACATGAAGTCGTCGTTCTCAGAGTCCTATCTCCAAAACCAGCATGAGAAGACGTTGTTGCAAAACAAGAACTTGAACGCCAAGAAGATAAAAGAGAAAGTCTCCGAGAAGGTCCAAATTGTCATTTGGAATACA